GTTCAAAGCTCGGCAGTAAAAGTTTTTGTTTTCGAAATTAATTTCTCAAAGACATAGTATCGGAAGCCTGCCTATTAATTTATTTGACAGCATATTAAGACCTTCTGGCTCAGAATAAGTCAATTTTTGTCAAAAAAAAATGAAAACTAGGATAAATGCATGCGGAGATAGTCCGTGTTCTGTTCTTTCGAAAACAACATGATTTTTAAATCGATATTCCGTTTTGGGGCAAAGTTCTTGATAACTTTTATCCTACACTTCTTAAAAAACAGGTTTTTTCCAGAAAAAAACGGAAAATGTCTTTCGTTTTTTCTTAGATTATACTTATTCAAACGCGCAACCCAAATTTCTCTGTCCAGGCTCATTCAATATATTTAATTTTTTTGTTTGAAAGAGCACGTCAAAGCAAAGGACACCACAGAGTCCTTCTTCAACTAAGCTCTGTTTTTTTATTATATATATATAAACACTTATGTAAGTTGATGCGCCTTTTTAGATGGTTTTCTGAATTATTGAACTTGTGATCCCTTTTCTCCACTTAAAATGTAAGAAATTTAAAAAAGAGACTCTGTGGTGCCCTACATTCTGACATGCTCTTTCAAACGAAAAAAAATTTTAGTATGTTGAAAGAGCCAGGTCAGAGAAAAATGGCTTGCGAAATGAGCTATTTTTTTGCCCTTGTTTGGTTCATATCTCTATCAAACGTTATAGTATAGAGCTGAAAATTTTATCAGAGCGTCTTCACTTAAGTCTCAACATGCTCTGAAAATTTTAGACGATTTGAATGTACTTGACCCTGAAATCGATTTTTGAAGGGAGAGGTCTTAAGAGTTTGAGGATAGTGTAACGTTTCTATTGAGAACAAATGTGTTCAGAACGAGTGAGCAAAACTCAAGTTTTCTTTGTTATTACCTTCCGCTCATCAGTCATTTTATTTTCGAGTTGATACTTATGTGAAACATTGTCTGCCATTTTAACAGTTATTCCTTCTTGATGAAATTATAAACGTAAGAATCAATTGAAAATATTGCGGTCTTTTCATTGAAACTGTTTATTTAACTATTTATGTTAGCAGCTAGTTGATCTCTTTATGAGTAGGTTTTTATACGGTGATTATGAACGGAAACAGAAAGAAGTACAAATTTAAGTTACTCGACAATCAAAAGTTCAGCAAATATGGAGAAATAACATATGGATGAAACATGAAGAATTAGAGGAAGCAATAAATTTTTATTGTTTCTCTAAATTCTTTTTAGGTGAAGCAATTGCTAACTCGTTGTTTGCTGGTACGCCACCCATAATAGTAGATGACGCTTGAGACTAGCACGAAACTTTATCATGAATGGCGGTTTTTCGATCAATTGGTATGAAGAATGTAAACAACGAAATACCTTTGTTTTTGTGTCTTTTGACTTGAAAAGACACTGTAAAGTATATGATAAATTAATCACCATGAGAAACGTAAATCTGTGCAAGTCAGATATGTTATTACTAATTTTTATCTATATTTTATAATGGTTTATCGATTGATAAATAGATGGTTATATTCATGTGTAAACTTTGAATTGCTTTCATGGAAATTCAAATATTGTCTGATGTCGTGTGTCTCGCTTTATAATCAATATTCATTTACAATGTATGCTCATTTCGTGAAACAAAACACTGAGTAATAGTAGTTTTGATTGTTTTATCTGTTTCATAAAAACAAAATCTTTTTGGTTTCATGAAAAAGCATGAATGTAGCATGTATTCGTTTTTTAGAACGATGCAAAAAAAAATTCGTCTCATCGACGGCTATGTTGAAAGTGTGCTCATCTTTAAAAATACAAATGTGGTGCTAATCCTGTATGCCTATACTACGGTAAATATGTCTGTTCGAAACATTGGATTATATCTAACTCGAAAATAGAAAATTTCTTCTTAGGTTCAATCAAATAAATTCTTCCATGGATAATCTTTAACAATTGAATGTAGCTCATTCCTCTCAATTATTTATGGAACAATATACATAGTGACGTATAACAAAGTGAGGCATACTTATGATTAAATCTGATTATGACCAAAAAGAAAGCATTTTAAAAAGATTGTTCGATCAAAATTGGATTAGGAAAGATCGAATTGAAAGTAACTTAACAAGTTTACTACAAATATACATTGATTAGAAAGGTCGTTCATATTTCCAAATTGGAAAAATATATCAAGGTATGTCGAACGTGTGAATCAATCTTGAAGATAGTAAGTTTTTTTTAATCAAAATAAAACATATGGACCTGATTGATCACTCTTTAGTGATTAAAACAAAACAGTTCAATTCTTGCATGGATGCCGATTCATTTCTAGGGTTTCAATATCAAGTAAAAGTTAATTGATGTTGTTCATACTAATGAACAACATCAATACGTGATATATGAAGTGAAACGTAATAGTTTTATAGCTGCAAAATATCCATCACTGTTTCGTGGATGTAGTATCAACATTCAATATAATTTAGTCTAAAGAGAATGAAAGGTTCCTTGGCCAATACTCATCACAAGAATGGACTTCTTCAGTAAACTATGTTGAAGATAATGACAACACTGTATATGTCATCATATTAACGAAAAAAAATCGCATCTACACAATATTTAATGAAACTAACAAATGAAACAATTGCAATCTTTTACATAAGGAACAGATTTTGATCTACATTTATGAAGTGAGAGTGAAACAACCACCAGTAGTACTTTCAAGTTCTTCGGGTCATATATGAGCATATCAAGTAGAAGACTATTTACATTCACTAATAGAGGTATCGATTTCAAATATCTGCATATCGATATGCGATGACTAATATGAATGAATTAGTTTTAATGAGTTTTTTCATCAAACAAATGAGATCATGCTTGTTCTTCAAAGTTTCTTTTATACTACATTAACTGTTAAATAATCATTTTCTTTAATTTTAGATATTATTGAAAATTAAAATGTATACTTCGATATGTTCTATTGATGAATGTAAACGTGCCTCTGATATTCTATGCGACCATTGTCAAGGTCAAGTATGCACCAAGCATTATGTTGAACATGTGAAATTAGTGAACGCAGAACTCATTAGTATTTCTGATGAAATAAATTCAATTTTTGATACAATACAACAACATGATTTAACTCATCATGTCTTCGAGAAAATTGAAAAATGGAGAGAGGAAAGTCATCGACGTATCGACAAAATATCTGATGAGAAGAAACGACAACTGAAAATTGAAATAAGTCAAAACATAAATATATACTACGTGAAGAAACTTCATGAACTAGGTCGATAAGTGCAAGAATTGATTGATGAAGGTGATGCTTCGTTCAAACAAATTCAAAATATCAAGAACAATCTTGAAAAATGTCGAGAAAACTACAAACAATTCGAGTTACTTAATTATTTTCATTTGACTTCAACTCCAGTCAATTTAGATATCATATTAATCACTCATGAATTATTTCAAGGTAGTGGTACACTATTATCAGTTGAACACGAATTGAAATTGAATGAATTCTATGGTAAAGAAGGACAAAAGTGGACATTAGTTTACAAAGTAATACGAGATGACTTTTCAGGTTTTGATTTTCATTGATGTTGTGATAATCAAGGTCCAAGGAGAACTGTTATTCAATCTATAGAAGGTGGTTATACATCCGTTTCTTGGTATCCAACAAGAGGTTATGTTATTCTTCCTAATAATCCATTTTTGTTCACTTTAACTAATTCACATAAAATTTCTTCAACTAAGTATTCAGTCATAAATCCCCAGTATTCTATCTGTGCCACAAGAACCTATGGTCCAACATTTGGTGGTGGTTACGATGTATATGTTAGTAGTAATAGTCAAACAAACAGAAACAGCTACTTTAATTTTCCTCATTCGTATCGTGATACAACAAATCGAGATGCAATGACTTTTACTAATAGCAAAAACGTTCAAACAAATGACATCGAAGTTTATCGACTAATGCAAACATAACATTACTGCTCTTCATTTTATTTTCAACAATAGAAATTTTTAGGTAGTTTTCGTTGAAGAACAGCGTTTGAATACAATCATCTTATTCATACAATTATATACATTGTCATTATTTAATAAAAACATTCACTATTCGAGATAAAAAAAAACTTGAAAAGACAATATTTGATTTTATTCACTTTTGTTTTTATATTTGTGTTAATAAAAATTTTTCAATATTTTTTCACAATTTTACTAATGAATCTGTTTGCAAGTCGGAAAAATTTTTAAGAAGAAAGTTATGGTATAAATTATAAACAGGTTCTTTTTACACGTTCGTTTCGTTAGATGTAATCCTATTTCTGTCCAAATAGAAAAGTATTACTTTAGTCTTTCCAATTTGACATGAACTTCTCTTATAATAAAAAACAGGTGTTCAACTACTGATAGTATGAATCATCATTTATGTTTTGTGAAATCATGATATTAATGCATAGAATTAAAGTAGAGCTTGAGTTTTTATGTTTCAATATCGTTGAATTCTATATTCATAAGATTTTGTATAAGAGACTTATGTTCTTCTAAGATTCTCAGGATATTTTTCCATTATCCAAATTAAAAAAAAAGATTTGATATCTTATCTTAAATTTATATCAACATGAAGGATCCTTGCAAATCATCTCTTTAGTCAAATACAAATTAAAAAAAAAAAAAAACTTAAACGTATTCTATCATCTTCCTGTTTGTATTTTTTTAAAATAAATTATCTAAAGAGAAAAAAAAACTTGCAATATAACACCAAAGAAAAATAAACGAGAAAAGAAAAAAATATGAGTAAAGAAAAGAATAAAGTTTTAAAAAACTTATGAGTAATCAGTCAAATGATAATATTCATACTAATAACAAGAAAAAAAAGCAAACTAAGAAAGAATGAGAAATGATAATTAGTTAACAATACAGCAAAAACTCATTTGTATATCAATAAATAATAAACTTATGTAAATGGAATGTTATCTTATAAAAAAAAAATTAGATATCATCATCTTTTATTTTTACTTCAGGATATGTATACATTTTCGCAATATTAACAATTTCTTCAATTTTATATGATGGATAAAGACCTGATTCACCATTTGTTTTATCGGATCCTTTTGAAAATCCATTCCAATGATTACCTTCTGTACCAATAATATCACCACGTTCAAAACTAAAATCATTTGGCATAATACTTTTATGAGATATAACTGCTCGTTGATTATGTGCATTTTGACCACCAAAATAATAAACATCATCAAGTGATTCTACACGCCATGCACCATCAACAACACGTTGTTGCATTACTTCATACGCCACACGACAAATCTAAATTTAAACATATTCGTACGATAATAAACTTCGTGAAGAATTTTTTTTTGTTAAATTTGATTTATTTTCGTGTATTTAATATCTATTGACAAACGTAAACTCAATGATTCTAAAGTCAATATTATTTAGTGATCGTGACTATTTTCTTTTTTTGTCTATCTCAATTATTTAATATTCACAAGTCTTGATATATAGAAAAAATTTTCTTTCTTGTATTTTATAAATCATTTTACCTGTGATGAAAAAGTGCAAACAAGATAATCACACAATGAAAGAAAATGAATATCGAGTATAACAGCTTTCAATGAGTCTGTTCCATATCTTGAGTCAAGTTGAGCAGATTTTGCTGAAGCTTGATCACCATAAAACACATAATTAGGATAACTTTTCATATAAGTAAAATAATATAAAGATTATTTTGAAAATGACAAAAGATATTAAAAAAAAGAAATGATTCATACTTAGTACGAGCTTCATTAAAAACAGATGGATCATCACTTGCTAAGTAAACACGTTTGATTAATTTTAAATCTGGATTTTGATATTGATATATAATATAATAATCTTCAACATATTTCATATATTCTGATAAACTATGAAATGCAGCTTCAGAAGTAAGTTTATCGGTTCGTCGTATATGAATTCTTTAATCAACAAAAAAGAAGAAAACAGTTTTCAATAGAAAAATAACAAAATTCATCAAAATTAATATAGTTTTACCCAACAATTGGTGTTTGAAATTTCATGGCATCATATTTTTTCTTTATAAATTCAAGTAACCATGATTGTGGTTTCAATAAATATTTCAATAATTGTCCAGTAAACCAAGCAAATGGATTACCATGTAAACGAATAAGTCGTTTAGATATATCTTCAGGTATTGCCATTGGCAAAAACTCTTCTTTAGGGATAAGAAATTCACTAAATGGAATTTTAACAACATTAGCTGTCTTATAATTCTCTATAAGAATGTCAAGTTTTTCTTTTCCTATTAGAATAAGCTAAAATTTACCCCAAGATGATGCATCATGAATCATCGATTCCGTACAATTATGACTTGGATATTGAAATATTTCTTTAAATCCACCATTATTATATCGCCATCCTTCTATAAAGTTATTAAACAAAAATCGAAAATAAGTATAATGAACGAAAGTGTTGAAGTTAAGATTCTACATAAGTATGTTTTATCTGCTACAAACTATTTATTCAACATTGTTTTAAATTTTACGGAAGAGAAGAAGCACAGAATCATTAAGATAAAGTTTCTGTCATGAAAACAGTTTTAACGATCTCGAAAATTCAAGACTTAAAATATTAGTGTATATTTTCAACGAATTATTATTTCTTCCTCAATAATTAGATTTTAAATTTCTAAAAATGTATTCAAAAATAAATTCTACCAGAATATATAATCATTGGTCTTCCAAGTGCATAAGCTATTTGAAAACAGTACGCAAGATGATGAACTTGACAACCATAACCACAATTTTTATTAATATCACATATAAACCTTTTCACATCTGTACAACGTTTGGATGGATTTTGTAAAAAGGTTAATCTTTCTTGCATTAATTTTGAAAGACTTTTATGTTCACGTTCACGCCATGATTGATATCCATCAACATTAGTAATATTTCGAATTGAAGCCAGAAGTACTCTAAAAGAAAAAAAGAAAATCATATTGATTAATTTATGAAATCAGATAAAGTAATTTGTATGCTTATATTTTGTTTTGAAAACAGACCTACTTTGATCAGCAAATCGTTCAATAACATTTTTCCATTTTAATTTATCTTCATCGGATAATTTTTCAGAGACTTTATTTAATTGATCACTAGTAAAATAAGATAATTCACGTGCTTGAGTTTCAATTTTTCGTCGTAATTGTTCATATTCTAATGCAGGTTCATCTAGAAACAAATAAGAAATTCATCATATGAAATATAAAAATTTAATATAAATACATTGTAAAGTTTTTGTATCACCATGTTTTTTTCTCAATTGGCGTTTGACACGTTTAAGTTCATCTTCAAGTTTTTGACATCGATTAGTATTACTAAACAGAAACGAAATAAATATCCAAGAACTTTAATCGATATACATAACATACACTGAAAAATTCTCAGATATTTCCTTTAGGAAGATGAAGGAATGGTAAGGACTCATATTGACCAGAAGTTTTTTCTCTCCCACTAAACTCTATACTTCATTTTTTCGAACTACAATTTTGTTGATGACACCTAGAATCGAATCGGAGTGTGTATGTGTGTTTTTTTTCTTCCAAAAATATCGTTTCTAGAACTTATGAGAAGCAAAATACATGCTTTTTTCAATACCATTAATTTTCTTTTTTTTGAAGCCTGCAAAGCTTTGTGGAAACAACATTTTGAAGAAAAGTAAAGCACTCATCTTAATTTGATCAAGATGCTCGTAAACAAAAATTTGAACTCAATATACTGTACTGTGTGAGGGCAACGGAGAGAAAGTTTCGTTTTTTTTTAATTCAAAAGTGATTTCGAGGAAAACGAAAGACAAATCTTCCTTTATGTATCAGAACTTTTTCTCTTAAACTAAAGTGGTCCAAAACTGACCGTTTTTAGTGGTGTTAGAAGTCCATGAACATGCTCTCAGCACCTTTAGACATCATCATTAAGAGAATTGCGCATGAAGATAATAATTTAAGCGCGTGTTGTTTTGCTAAGAATTCTGAGATTCCAATTTGAATAAAAATACTAAACAACAACGAAGAGCTCTCGTTTATATCGTATTTGACAGAGGACACTTCGAAATGATATTCGCGATGGAAAATCAAAAATCGACAATATGTCGATTTGAATATGTAAAAAGGAAAAAGTTTCGTTCAGTAAAATTACCTAAATGATTGTCCATGTTCATTTTTATTTGATTGAATTTGAGCAACTTTTTGTCGTAGTAATTCAACTTCATTTTGTAAATATTCTATTCGATCTGCAGAAGTTTTATCATTAGTTGGCGTAGAATGATATGTTGTCATAACAAAATAAAGTCCAATAATCCATATTGATATAAAACCAATATAAAACTTATTACCAAAGAAAAACATTATCTATCTAAAAAATATTTCAAAAAGTAAAACAAATTAACAAATGATTTTAAGAATATCTAATATTCTTTTCATTTTTTTATTAACAATTTTAAGTATTCTATTTAACCAATCTTTATAAATATTATTATGAACACATGTTATTCGAAAATACAATTACATTATGAAGATATTCTATTCTATATATAACATGAAGAGAATGTTAGAAGAAATATTTTTTTAAATGTTGTAATTAAATAAGAATCGTGTTTTGTTTGTCTGAATTAAATTTCGTACTCTCTATACTGTTGAAGATATAAGAGAGACAAATAGTATAATAGAAATTATTTAAGTATAGAAATACGAAAAAAAAACTTGCCAACGGATTTGAAAAATAAAATTTTTATTTTCATCTGTGATGATTTTTAATAAATTAATAATTTATACATACAATGTATCATACAGTTTTCAGTTTATACTGCCGAAACTTAAATGAGCATTCATAATTCATATTAAACTCGATGAGATATTTAACCATTGGTCTCTTTTATTCGAATATCTGTATTACCAACATTGATATTTTTTTTACATAGCATAGTCTTCATTAATGCATGAAAACAAATTATTTCCATTTCAAGATAAAATATTTGATTATATAATCATTGATAATTTTTCATTTTATATATCCACTAAAGCTCTAAAATGACGTCATTAATATAGCTGGCAATGCAAACGTAATGGTATATACTGTCGATCTCTATTTCTGTTCAATAAACGGGTATTGAAAGAAAACTATTTTTACCAAGCCGTAGAGGTTTGTCGCCTCTTTTGAATAGTATATAACTTATTTGATAATACGTTCATAAATATTTTATAGTAAGAATGGATTCATTACACATTAATGGATCATATAATAGCTAATTTTAGTTTCTCAAAAACAACTTAATGAAAATCACAGCTTAGTACAGAGTCAATCGTTGTCGATTCCAACTAATAAATATGAAGAAAACAAATTCCAATAATAAATCAACATTTTTAGTGTAAATAAAATATTTTACTAATTGTTTTGTTTTATTTTTATGTAAATTATTCAATTGTATTACTTACTATTTACGCTAATAAACACGTAGTATTTAAGAAAAAAAATATAAAAAATATAAGTAGAAATAATCAGGACATGAAGTCAAGAAAACAAAACCAGCCAAGAACTTCAAGAGAAAAGAATCAAACTTGAATTTAAAGAAAAAAAAGAATCAGACAAGAATAAAAAAAATACAAGAATCTTGCCCAGTGAAGCTTTTCTTGTCTCGTCAGCCAAGATTCAGTCTACACGAATCTTGCAGGATGTCAAGATCAGCTTTTTCAGACAAGAATCTTGTACAGAAGGAATAAAAAAAAGAATCTTGCCTGATAACCAAGAAAAACAAGAATCTCGCAAGCACGATGTCAAAATCGTCGACTAGTAAGGTTCTAAAAAGAATGTTTGTTTACCAATTGATAAGGAATTTTTTCTTCTCTTTCAAACAGTGTATGATCAATATTTATCACACATTGGTCAGTGAAGCGAGACGAGAAAAAAAAGAAACACTCACGAAATAAACTCGTAAATTTTTATAAAATCGTTTAAAAATCTTGTACAACGATAGTTAATTCTAATTAACTCTTATTTACGAAATTTTTTGAAGAATTCATATAAAAACTACAGATTTATTTTGCGAATGTTTCTTTTTTTTGTCTTGTCTCGCTTCACTGAGCAATATGTTATCGATATTAATCATACACTGTTCGAACGAGAAGAATACGTCCTATCAAATGATTAATAAATATCCCTTTCAAAACCTATTTATCGAAAAGAAATGAGGATCGGCATTTAGCGCCATTACGTTTGTATTGTAGGTTAAGTTTGTGTTGTACCAGTAATTTATCTATTACAATAATTTGTTCTTGATTCTAGCAAAATTCTCCTCCGTACAATGACAGAAAATACATTAAGTACTGCTACATGTTCTATTATTAATTTTATTATTATTACGATAACATATTTCTATGATTTCCTTTTCGTTAGTTAATAATATATCCATTGTAATTATTTTAAATAATAATCTCCAAATTAAAATAGATTAGTTTTCCACAAGAACCAAAATAAGCGTTTTGTTTTATTTTTATTAAAAATTGATACGTTTACCCGCATACGAATAATAACAATAACACAAAAGAAAAACACCAAAAAAAAATTGAAAGTTCAGCTTCATTAGAATTGATAACATGGCTGTCACCCTAGATTGAAATGTCGTTTACTCAAGAATAGAAATATATCAATGCTTGAATATAATTACAATTTCTTAATAAATAATCAGCCCCATTCAATATTATTCAAATGCTGGAAATCGTGCATATGTTGGATTAAGAATATCAGCCATAAAATAAATTGTACCGGCAAGACCTAAATTATTTCATTATTATAATGAAATAATTATTTTAGAATTAATAAATAAATAATACTAACCTTCAAATAATGAATATGGATGATCAGGTGTTCTTGATAAGTCATGTTTTCCATAATCCAAACAATGTTCAGCGAACTATTAAAATATAACATTAAAAACATTATATCATTTATTAAACAAAAAAAAAAAACAATAAGTCTAACTTTAATAGCTCTATGAAGCCATTTTGGATTATTTGTTGCACGATATAGATCAAGAAAAACATAACCATTACCAGCTGCACCATGACAAAGTCCATAACCTTTTCTTAAAAGTCCTCGTTCCCAAACAACATCACCAGCCGCTATAGCAAGATCCAAATATGATTTATTACCTGTTGTCTAAAACATATGAACATAATCTATCTTATAAAAGTACTCTTCAAATATTTATAAATTCAATAGTTTGTATTCAATTGACTTACTTCATATGCTCGAACAAATAAATAAACAAAACCTGGTGCTCCATGACACCATTGAACAAGTTTATCAGATTGACTATTACTTGATGATAAATAATTTCCACTTGGTAATCGTTTTGATGTAAGAAAGTCAACAGTTGGTATTAAATGTGATTGAACATACGATCGAAGATTCGAAAATGAATCATCATGTGCTACCTATATATAATTTTTTTTGTTTTATATGTAAAAAAAAACAAAAAAGAAAACTTTATTTCAAACCTTAAGTAATAGAAAGATGATTCCTGCAACACCATGTGCTGCTCCCAAATATTCACTATCATGCCATTGATACATTAATGGAGATTTTGAACATGATTCTCGAGCATATTTTTCACCAGATTTAATAATTGATTCGAATACCTATTAATATAAAATAATAGAATTAGAGAATTTACTTTCCAAATGATTATATAAAAATTTTATTCCAATTAGCTGAATTCCAATAAATATGTGAACAAGTAACAAATAAACAAAGAGAGATGACTGTGTCACTTTTTCATAGATGTTAAAAATATCTCACTCTATCAATTTTCAAAAACGGTAAAATATCAATACAATCTTCATCATAGCGTTATCACAATTTCATAGAACATTTGATCTGTTATGACTTGAGAGACATATTCGAAGAAATAAAATTGTACACATGATGTTCGTAACTTTTGTGGCAAACTTAGTTTTTCATAGACTTCATCAGACTTACTAACAACATGTTTGTTTTTGACTTTCCCATTCAGAATGACAGAACTCCGAACGTCAGAAACCTTGGTTTTAGGACGAAATCTTGACATCGTTTTCTCATAAAATATAACGAAGGAAAAAGTTTACAACCACTTCTTACATATAGTCTAAGATATCTCTAAAGAAACTTTCAGCACGACCAAAAAAAGTTAGACAACGATCGTAAACGAGCCCGATGTGATCTGATGGAAAAAATGCGAAAGCTTTGTTTAAAATTTATTTCCTCAAATACATGTCTTCTTGTTTTACAAGAGAATGATTACTTAGATGTTTAATGAAATAAAATTTTTATGTAATCAATAAACAGTAAATTATGCAAACACTTTTATTTACTTCTGTAACAAGTTGATTATCAATAATATCATTTCGAATTTCTTTTCGAAGAAACATTAATGTATAAAGATAACCAGCACGTCCATAAAGATATTCATCCGGATTTGAATCACTTAATGCATCATTTTTCATCGATATAATTCTAAAAAAAAAACATGCTCAAACCAATAATCAAAATAAAACATATACACAAATATTGATTTACTTGTCAATATATTTATTCATTTTTTTTTGATCTTCTAAATCATTATAAATTACTGCTGCAATTGCCAATGGTCCAGGATCACCATTCAAAAATGAAATTCGTTTACCTATATTATATTTAACTATTAAAATTAAATTACAAATATCAATTTTCAACCTTTAAGTTGTTCTAATGATGAATCAATCAATGCCTTTGCTTTAGATTTATAATCATTCTTTTCAGATGGAAAGAGTATTGCAAGACGTAAATAAAGTAATGCGATACCTATTATTTTAAGAAAATCATATTATCAATGAAGAAAAAAAAATCTGTTTTGCTTTTTTACCAGCACTACCAGTATATACTGATGTGTCAGATGAATCAGTTCGATTAATATGTCGTTCAAGTTTATGTGTTTTATGTTCAATCCAATGAATTATATTTGAATTTATTTCTGAAATTAACTAAACAATAAAAATAATTTGTATGAGTTCAAAAATAGCAAACATTAAAAAAAAAGCAAATAACGAACTTGATTATTTGAAGTAAGATAAGTTTCACCATTATAATCAGCATAATTATTTTGAAAATAACGATCAGTCATGATCGAATAATTGCAAATAGCAAAATTTCAATAAAAATATACTGAAAAACTATCAATAGGTTACTGTTTTATACAATAAAATATAAAAATAAATAACGAATTCATAATACATGAGTTTGAGATTCTGCATTTATAATTTTAATTCACACAAAAAAAAACAAAACAATAAAAACTATAAATCAATTTTATAATTTTCTAAATGTTCATCATTTTCTATTGTTTCTGTTGATTGATTATTTTCAGAATCAACAGATTTAGATGTACTTGTTTTTCGTTTATTATTAATAACTTTTGCCATTTCATAGAGAAGATCAGTAATATGATGTTGATGCTATGAAAGAAAAACGTATGTGTATCCTTTTTATCCTGACAAAAAAAAAAACTTCTTATATATTCTTACCACGCCTTTAATTTTTTCAACTTCAGTTGTTGTTATTTCACCATCACCGTCGACATCAACAATGTCATAGAACTGAAAAAGAAAAGCAACATGTTTTTTTGTTTTTGTTAGAATTTTTAATGTATTAACCTCTTCAAATATAGCTGATGCTTCTGGATCCGATGATAAATCGTATGATAAATGCTAGAATAAATATTTTTAGTTAAAATACAAATTAAAAAAAAAAAACTATTTAGTTACTTTAGAAAATACTTCTTGCCATTTATCAAATCCCTTTACTTTTAAATGAACAAGATTCATTATTACATCTCTGATGAAAATAAATAAAAATTTATAATTATCTATATAAAAATAATACTTTTTCATTTACCTAAAAGTCTGAGGTTCAGCTGACCAATCAATTTGATCAAGTGTAAATGTTGCATCATATGTTGAACAATTTTTTAATTGATTTTCATCGATCAATAATGCTGGATGATGTCTTATATTATAAATAATTGATATTGTATTTTCAAATGTACGTTCTTGAAATAACCAATCACTTGGAATAAATAAACAATCACCTGATTTGAGATTAGCTATATGATAATCAATATTTGCAAATGCAGGATATTGATCAAAATCGACTCTTTAAAAAATAAAAAAGATATTATTTCAAATGAATTAAATAAATATATAAAACTACTTGTCAGGATTAATTGGTGGTCCACGTCGCTGTCCTTTTTCTGGTAGAATAATCTTTAGAAAAATAAAATTTAGGTTTTTTTTTTGTCATAAAATAATCAATTGAAATTTTCTCTCTTCTTACTTTACGAACATCAGGATATTTAAGTGTATTAACAAGAACAATACGTTTATTACCACGAAGAATACAATGAAGACGATCATGATCTTCACCGAACATTAATGGTGATACATTAATACCATTTATGATTAGAATCTATATAGATTTATTTTTTCATGTAAATAATTTTTTATTATAAGAAAATTCATACTGCTGATTGAAAATGTTCTAATATAATATCACATTGTAAAGGTTTTGGAACAGCAAGATATTTTCTACAAATAAAATTAGTCAAATACAGTTCAAGTGAAAAATTATTTCAATATTACTCATATTATCGTTGGATAAAGTTTGACACGTTCACAACGAATATGTGGATTTCGAGTTTTTTTTTTCTATCTTCTTTTAAGAGAAAAAACATTGAACATATTTCAAGCATATAAAAATAGTCAAAAATCATTCATTTCAGAAAAATTCAAACTATAATTTTTCCTATTTTATTGGGTTTAAAACCGTAAATCTGTGTCATATGACAGATTCGATCTTCTACTAAGATACGCTAGTATCGAGCTTTGTGATGTTATCTATTAGTCTTTTGTACGAACTGATGGAACTAAATGTCTTATTTTATTAGAACCTGTATAACAGTATCCATTTACTTTTAAAAAATTTTGTGTTATTAGTCAGAAAATGAAAATCGTCAATCCTGCACGAATTCACCCAAATTTAGCCGTTTTGACCATTAGATTCTGATTAAAGAGAAAAATTAACGTCATATTCTTCATCAAATTAACAAATTGCCTCGAGTAACTTACAATGCATTGAAAAAATTTGTGTACAATTTATCGGGGGTTAAGTTTTTAATTGAATAAGATTTTTAATGAAATGTATGTGGCTAGACGTAGTTTTTTAAGCTGATAAAATATGTTACGTTAATTTTACTCTTTTTCTTTTGATAGCCGAATGATTCAAATTAAGAATGCACCAAATCCAATTCTAATCAAAACAACTAAATTTTTAGAGTTTTGCCCTTCAAATCAACGATCTGTATTTTCTTACTAATAACACAAAATTATTAAAAACTAAATGAATGCTGTCATAGTCTATTCTCGAGAAGTTTAAATGAAGTAATAAACTTGATTTTACCTCTTCATATACAAAGACAACCATACCAGATAGATCTTTGACTTTAAAGTCGATCAAATCCGACTAATATATTTAATTTTAGATATTTCAATAATAAAGACGAACATTTTGAATTTTTCTCAAACGAGTAATTTTTATACTCGTCGAGTATTTACAAACTTATGTTTTATGTAAAAAGAAGATAGAATAAAAACCCGAAGTTCATATATTCGTTATCAGTACATCTAACTTTATCCAAAAATTTCTAAATAAAACGAAAATTATTTCCAATCGAATTTTAAATTGTTCGTATTTCATATGAACAACATTTGTGTTAGATTGCTTAAGTCTCTCTTATTAGAATAAGATGATGTCAGTTTATTTAGTAATTTAATCTGTTATCTTTCTTTAACTACTTTTTTGTTATCTACTTCGAAGATTAATAGTGCCTAGGAAAAAAAAATGGTATCATCTCCTGTCGAGATGAAACACCATATGTCAATACAAACGTCTCAATTAGTAAGAGAAATTATTTTCTAATGATTCTTACTGAAGAATTGTCGGTACATTATGAACAAATAATAATGGTTCTTTTCCATAACGATCTAAAAATTCTCCAAATGTCATTTGAATTCTTTGTCGTTCTTTTGATTTAAATGATTCCACTTGAATATTTATATTTGACAATCCATAAACATCATTCTGAAGTTTTTTATCTGTTTCCCATATAGAAAAATGATTATCATTAATTAATATTTGACGAGAAAGAATTGGTTCTGATTTAGGTAAATAATATGTAAAAAGTTCTAATACTGTTGGAAATTCTTGATCTAATTCTTTGATATTAATAAAAGATCCAATAGAACCAAATGGTTTTAAATGACCAGGATTTTTATTAATAGCAAAAACAAAATGAATTATTGTTATCAAAAAAATTAAAATTAAAGAATTCATCTAAAAAAAAAAAGAATTTGTCAAAATTATAATAAAATAAAACAAATTCACAGTTATAAAAAAAAAAAAAGAATTAAGGAGCAAAGCAAAAAGAGATTTGTTTTTTGTTTAAATTTAGCACCCTATCATAAGTTTGTTTATAAATCATCATGTTCATTAATATAATCATTATTATCTTCTTCTTCTTCAGTTTCATCACCAGTAAATATTTCATTACTACTATGATTATTATTAAATTTTTCATCATCATTTTGATCAATAGATATATTATTTAATTGATTTTTTTCATTGAATTTATCATCAACTATATCCAAAATATCTTGAAGAATATCATAAGCTGTTGTGATATTCTAAATATTAATATAATAATAAAAAAAAATTTATATTGAATAAATTTTACTTACATTATTATCAAAAAGAGATTCAATTTCATTTATTGTTATAAAACCATTCTCATTTTCATCAATTATATTAAAAAACTAAATATGATAGAAATTAAATATATATATATTTTTTTTGTCTTTTAATTGAATAAAGAATTACTTCAGCAAAAAGTGTTATTGTTTCAACATCTGATCGAAGATCAAAATCTAAATCCTTAAAAAAGAAAAAGCATGAAATAGAAAGTTTTAATTTTTTGAAAGTGTTTGTTTTTCTACTTTTGAAAATTCATGTGTCCATTGTTTAAAATTTGTTTGTTCGTCATCGACAAGATCAAACATAAATTTTTTTAAATATTCAATATTTGGTTCTTCTTTTGGCCATTGTATTGTATCAAGTCTTATGAAATTTGATTTTTTATATAATAAACAAGTTTTTTTATTAATAATTGCATTTTTAGCTCGTTCAGTATTAAGCCAATAATTAACAGCTATATTACGATTAGTTGAACGAACTTGATGCATCCATAAAGCAGGTAGAAATAAACAATCACCTTTACTTAAAAAAACTTTATAATAATGAACATTATTATTATCAAGTGAAGAATATTTGTTATAATCAACACTATACGACAAAAAAAAAAATCATAATAATAAATTGATTTATTCAACATTATAATTTTACCTATCGACATCAATCGATGAATATGAACCTGAATAATTATCAATTATCTAAATTAAGAAAAGAGAATTAGAAATATTTACTAATTAAGTATTTTGTAATAAAAAGAAAATTATCGAAAAAATATTTATAATGATCTTCTTTTAATAACACTAATTTATATACTTGACTCTTTTTAAAAATAAAATGATTATACTTGAGTCAGTATTTTAGTAAGTATGAATAAGAGGTCATCCATTTAAGATCGTTCAAATGAAAATCGTATTTTTTGACCCTTCCATCCTATTCCATTTTTGTTGATGTTGAACACTTTTTTGTATTAGATTACTGATATATAGAAGTTTGCAACAGCTATATTCATAAGTGCTCTTCTCTATGGTAATAATTGCCAGGAATCTGAAAAAACATTCCTTAATCAAGACCCATAAAATCAACTTTCTGCTTTTCATCTGAAACTTTTCAAAAAAAAGATTTTATTTAATAGAGCAAAATTAAACATCTCCGATTTCTCCATGATCTTCTTTCATCAAATCGCATAATCCTAATAAACAATCCTTGTAGCTATACAAATGTTTTCTCAGATTCTTGCTATATATTTACCATCGAGAAGAACACTTCAAAATGCTACCCGAAAATAAATTTAATATGAAAATTTCATGATATCCTTTTATTGATGATGTTTAATATCTCAAAATACAAACTTGAGAAGCAACTTCTTTATGTGCATGTGGATCAACAAGAATAAATTGTTTATCACCTTGTAAAACACAGTTGATATTTTCGTAATCATCTGTATGTACAACAGATGAAGTATTGCCTGAACTGTAAATGAAAATAAAATTAAAAAAAAGACATTAATTGATATTTTTGTCTCTTAATTGTCTTACCTATACCAAAGCATCTATTAAAAAGAATCTTTTTTTTTGTTTTTGATGTAAAGTAAGAATAAACTTACGGCAAGTTGAAATGTATCTATAGCTGGTTTACATTGAAGACATGTAGGTAAAGTAAAATAAGGTCTAAAAAAAAGAAAAAAATTATTAAAATTTATATTGAATTGTTTAGTGTTTTTTTGTTTAAAACTTTACCTTAATAAATTTGGTACTTGTTCAACAAGGTAAAGTTCTTCATATTGATATCGTTTTAAAAATTCTGTCATTGTCATTGTTAAAATATCTTGTTTTCGACTTTCTTTTTTACGTGTTTCAATATGAACAATATCATTATTATTTAAAAATATTTTCTTTAAATTTTCATCTTTATCCCATAGTGATATATGAGGATCATTAATAATTGCTTGACGAAAAACAACAGGATTAGATTTGAATAGATAATTTTTAAAAAATATTATTGGATCAGGAAAACCATTTGTTAATTCATCAATTTTTTTATATGGACCAGAAGAACCAAATGGTTTTAAATGACCTGGATGTTGTGATGTAGATGCATATACAAAAATACGAAGGATATTTATATAAATTATAATTATTTGTTGATAATTATACATTATAAAATATTACAAAAATTATTAGATGTCTAAAATAGATTGCATATATAGATACAGTTATAATTGTTCGTTTCTTTTTTTTTACAAAAACCTATTTAGAATAAAAAAAAAAATTCGAGCAATTTATTTCATATGCTACACCATGCTATAGATGAATAAACATCTATTAAGAAGATAATTGGTGCATATCATTTGATGTCGCTAGTATTCATAAAGATACTTGTCGTTTTTTTTCGATAAAGAACACTAACTGATTTACATGATTATTTAACTCTTTTCGGTCGGCTATTTGAAAGATGCCGTACCTCTCTATAGGGGAAAATGTTGCCATATGGCACATCTGGCCGAAAAGGCTTAATCGATGAGGGTCGACAAGGACATCTTTTCATTAAGAAATTTGCGAAAAAAACAACATGAAAATGACATGACACTTATGAACATTGATTTATACACTCTACAACTGTCTATTTCTCTAGAAATAACATACAGCTTAAGAAATCCTTCCAAAAATCTGTGGAAGTTTTTCAGAATATTGATTTAGACTCTCGAAAAAAAAAAATAACCTGACCCTATTTTACATATATATGATATTGTCTACATTGATAATATTAATAGTTTGTATTCAGAAAAAAAAATATTCTCAATAATTGCAAGGGATTTACAAGACGCTGGTGATTTATTTAATAAGAAGAAAAGTGAAGTTTCGTATATTTATGTTTTCTATAAAACCAGGATTAGAGGAAGATATTTATGATTTCATTTCATAGTTGTTTGAAAATATTGAAGACTTTTGATATTCCAAATTTTTCGGCAATAATTTGTCGAATACAGAATTCGAACCATGACAACTAATATACTAGTATCAATCAAGCTTCATGTTTCCTATTCAACAATGATCATATGATAATCCTTTTCTTAGTGCTTTTTATTACTTATTTTCAGATTTTTTCTCTCTTTATGTGCATTGGTGAACAGAAAATTTCATAGAACTATTATCCATTTTAAAAAAGAAGAACTACGGACATTTTTCAGAATAACTTTTGATAGCGATAAAATAGAGAACTGTGGTCTTCACAGTCGTAAAGACAAAATTCAGGCGCATAAACGAGTACTGAAATTTAATTGATCATCCTTTGATCAATCGTACTATTTCTTAATAAATACTTTAAAAACAATATTCTTGATTCATTTTACAGTTGATCTTCATTTTTAATATCATCAATAAACACGAAAAACTGTTATCTCTTAATCTACGCAAGACGAACATTGCTAGGTTGTATTGTTCAAGAGTTAATAAATGTTGAATGGAATGACGATATTCGTATTTTGGATTCGAAATGATTTGAAACTGTTATATCGCTATTTGTGACATGTAGATTTATTTTGTTACATAGCGACAGATTGTGAAATTGTGACAACATTGAAATGAATCAGAAGTCTAACGAAAATCTTTATAACTCTTGAGCTGAACAAGATAACAATGTGGACTTTGCGTAGATCAAAAGACAATAATGTCGGCTATTTATTAGCCATATTAAAAGCCAACTTCAACTACAAAATAAATCCAGAATATTCATTTTTAACATGTCTAACAAGAATTTATTTGATTAATCCAATTATTCGAAAAATACTCATGACTCTTCGTTTTTAAAATGGTTAATACGAATTCTATATCAGCTTTTCTCGATGTTGTCTTTTATGTCTTTGCAAAATATATGCTGTAAACAATAGAAGAAATGTAAGTAAATCTATCGTAAAATAGAATGATGAAGAAGTATTCAATTTTGTTTTGAAAACATTATTTAATATGAAAGTGAATTAATAAAATAAGAAAAGTCTACTATTGAATTTGGACCAAATATAATAGCCGAACATATCATTTCTTACCGAAATAATCTTTGATGTTAGTAAAAAATGATTGATTTGCCAACAATTTCATGTTCATGTTATTGAAAAGAAACTCATGAAAAATCTCAAGAAAAAAGAACTTACACTAGCTAGTAGAGAAAAAAATTGTGTCTACTAATCAGAAAGAAATTCTACGGATTACAACGTCTATCAGAATCTCAGTAATAGAGTCGTTTAAACAAGGATATCTCCCATATATTTTGTCAACATGATGCAATGTATGGAATTTCATACAGAGCTGTAATTTGTCGTTACTGGTTACAAATCTTCTTTGGTCATCCTTCGAAAATCAACAAAAACAAACTAGCTTCTTTTTTTTTGTTATAAAATAGCATCAAAATGAAATCTTAAAATTTTATCAAAATTCTTTCAAATAGGTATCTGATATATGTAATATAAGAAGTTTTTGTTAGAATAGATCTTAAAAGATTTCTTCTAACATAGAAAAACTAGTTAACTTCTTCACTAAGCTTATTTATTAATTACTTAAATGAACCGTAGAATGATCTCTATATGTTTAAAAGAGTAAAAATAAATAAGTGTTACATATACACAAAAGAAAAAGCGTGATGCATAATAGAAAGACGTCCAGTCTTTTACAATGCCGATAGTATTAAGCAGTAACGACATCATTTACTGATCTTATTTGAAGTCGAATTAAAAAAAAACCTACAAAACATTAAAAACAAATTTTTTTCTTCTAGTCTCTTGATTTCTACATCATCTGAAAAGTTAAATATTAAATGAATTGTAATTAATAGATTCAAAAAATTAATTAAAATTAACTCTTCAAAGAAAAAAAAAAGAAGAAAGATATCATTTCAAACGAATTAAATAAATACGTAAAACAGCTGTTTGGATTCATATCGCATTCACATTGCTATCATATATCACGCATAACAATCTATATAAGTGAGTTAACAAGAACAATATATTAATAACCATGAACAAATTGGATTTCATGTTATTCAATTCATTGTAAATGAAGTCTTCTAATCGAAATTGAAATTCTATAGAGAGAAAGAATAACTCATTTCTATTTGAAAAATTCCTACAAATCTTGAATCTTAAAAGAATGTTTATTATTATTTCTTCACTTACTCTTTACAAGTAAACTACAACAAGTAAAATATGTCTTATAGATAATTATAATCAAAATAGACATATCTCTAATTGTTCAATATATTACCAAGAATTCGTTTTAATGAGTATAGCCAACTAATGACTTGAGACCAAGATTTCATTTGTAGTCTTGAATCTGTATTCATTATCAATATTGATTTTCTTTTCAATTAGTTAGATTACGAATATACAAGTATTCACTTTTGTAACATGGTAATAAAATATTGATGCATAGATATATAAAAAACGATTACTTATTTTGTGTATTGAGCTTTTAATAAGATAGGGTTATCAGTGTTAACATTTTTTTTTCTTATGTCATTAACATTCGTACCATGTCTTCATTTGATAACCTTTCTTTTCTTTTTCTTTTTTTTTCTATTATTGAGTTGACCTCAGTAATGATATAGTATTGCAACAGATGCATTTAAAGAAAAAAAGAACTTCATTCTTCTAGTAAGTATCATAATGAAATTTATCATTTTTTACATGTATACATATGAGCCAGAATTGTTCATTCAACAATTCGATAGCTGTCGAGAATGTATTCCATTGATTTTTGCATATAAAGATGTCATATGTATGACGTTGTAGACATTTATCAACAATAGATTGTAGTAAAACTTGTTTCTTTGAAATTTTATATAATATTTAAAAATAAAACTAATTAGAACTGTTCGTTTTTCCTTCCTTTTCCTCTCTCAACCTGTGATGATTTTCATTCACGTGTGCCTGGTAGCAACGATTAGTTGTTGTTGTTGTTGTTTTAAGACAAACCCATGCTTCTGTGCATTACTTTCTTGGTTGTTCTCTTTTTTTGTTTTTCTTACGTGTTCTTCATCACCTTCGTAAGCATACACACATACCATATATTCATAAGAGAGGGAACGGCGAAAGTAAAGAAGCACCATCATAGAAAGAAAAATGAGACTCCTACTATAATCAACATATTTTTTTTTGGCATTTCAATTCTACTACATATTATACTTGACACACAAACGGATACGATAAAAAAAAAACCGATCGATCAAACATAATTATTTATCGATATTGAAATAAACACATCTATTATGGCTACAACAACCGGTACTCATTTTATATCAGTTTCGTCGTCAACACCAAAAAGTCGAAATAATGAAAAATTCTCACGATTAAATTTAATTGATAATAGTATACTTATCATGTTTTTTTATGTTTTATCTTTTCTTTTTTCTTGGAAATAAAATTTTTCTTTATTGAAGATTCTTATCAAACAAATATTAATAATGAATCAATGATTAATATACCTATGGGAGGCGTACCAGTTAAATTTGCTGATAATCTATTCAGTATTGTATGTAATATATTAAATTTTTTTTTTGGAATAATAATAAATAAATTCTATTCTTTTCTTCTTCTTCTTCTTCTTATAGCTTATTAAAGATCAAATTAGTCAATTTCTTGATTTACCACAAATAAAAAAACTTAATTATATTGAAGAAAATGCTGTTCGAAAATTAACATATGATATAACTGAAATATTAAAACGTATTATTGCACAACATGTTAAAGATAATTATAAAGTTGTTATACAAGTAATGTCATATCCAAAACAAGATGAAAATAATATTTTAATAATGAGTCGATGTTTATGGAATTATCGAACAGATGATGTACTTTCACTTGAAATTGAGACAGATGCATTCAAATTTCTTATACTTATTCATGGTGTTGCTGCATGAAATAAGATTGTTTTTTCTCAACAATGATTTCAATTATAATAAAAACTATGTGTATATTTTTTTTAATATGAAGGTAAATAAATCAATATAAAAATATTTTCTATTAGAGAACGAAAGACAGAAAGAAAGAAAAAAAAACATGTTAGTTCAAGGAAATGAAAAGAAAATCTTTCTTTTTTCTCATTTCATAATTAATTAAAGGTTAGCTCATGCATTAAATATATTATCATACACAAAAAAAAGTGCAAC